GAAGAGCCTTGGAGCATAGCCTTTGCTTCTACAGATTGAGAAGTCACATCTGCGATGGCTTGGGCATGTGTTGCGAATGCCTCTAGAAAGGAAGGTTAAGCCACTGTTCCTCACAAATCAGACCGGCAGAAGGCTCAGGGGCGGCCATGATCAACCTGGTGCAAATACATGGAAGGAGTCTGTTCCACACTCCAGTTGTCTTTTGCCGAAGCTCAGACTGGCACAGGAAGGGGAACGTTGGAACTTCTCTGTGACGTGTCTGCCTCCGCGACCCGAAAGGAGAATTGGCGATGGAAGATGAATTTAATGAAATACGTGTTTTCGTTTTATTTAGAAAGTTTTTTTCGGATTCAGAAAGAACGCAACCACTGCTAAATCGGAAGCAAGATCGGCTCTACTAATCTTGTACGTCACAGTGGTAAGCCATTCGTTGATCAAACTTGGAACATTTACGCTCTCATTTATTCTACAAGAAACTCTGCTTTGTGCCTGAACCTAATGTTTTCCTACTGCGTATTTGAGTATCAGTTCAAGTTTCGAAAGAATATGGTGATGAGTTTGTAACAACATTCATGAGTTCACATTGGACACGTTTGTTCAGTCGTGTAACAGAAGGCATGCGGGGCAGATTTTGTTTCTTGCTTTTGCTTCCTGTTCGTTCTACTGTGACTGTTTTCAAAATTTTTATTCCGTTTTTTGGGTTCTCTGCAGACGCCTCTGCTCGAATCCAACTATAAAAAACCACACATGAAATGGCAAGGTAATGACTTGTTGAACGTGTGCAAATTCCATCCTCGTCAAGATTTTGTTTGGCTGAGATCTCACGTAGGTAAAAAACACTTTTGAACGGCTGAAACGTGGATTTCGAAGATTTTAGGGATATTAATCCTCATGTGGATTTATTGGGCGATACCTGATTTTACGATGTGAAAATTTTCACTGTTAATTGACAATCCGTTTTGCGGTATCACACGCTTCGATGATCCACTTGCCATATTAAACTTAGAACACCTAGACTGGGATAGAGTGCCCAATAGATAAAAGAAATTTTTCTTGTAAGCCAAGATGTTCAAAACAAAAATAACCTTGATTCACAAATGTACAATGTCAGAAACGTAAAAGTCAACAAAAATATTCAATCATTCATCAAACAAAATCAACAAACTTATCAACCGGAATCATTAGAGAAATCAGGAAAACTTTTCCTGCAAAGCGTTTATCGTTTTCACTAGCTTGTTTATTCTTTCGTCCCTAAAAAGCAAACTAACTGAGTTAATATAATCCAGAAAGCTCAGTTTCTTACCAGCTAATCATCATTTGTTTCATCAGTAACAAATCACCGTTATCAACAGGCTGGACTGAAGTAGACGAAGATTTATTACTAGACGTCGAAGGAACCAATGATGTACATTCTTTCAAGAGCTGAAGAAAGTAACGAACTTCTGTTACACATAAAAAATAGTACATAACAATTATAAAGAAAAACATCTGCCAAGAGCAACAGAACAGGATAGAACTAGTACCCAAATAGCAGGATGTTCCCTATCTAACAGGAAACCAGCAATTAGAGATAAACAATCCGCTTGCTGCAACTGGTAACGCTAATATTACAAAAACACATTCACAAGCAATAGGAATTCTTCAAAAATTCTGCAAGATAATAACTAAGACAGTAGAACAATTATTCTTCTAAAATAAATTGGTGCCTTAGTTAATAAAATTTTGAGGCAGGTTAAAAGTTCTGCAAAATTTTGAGTTCTGCGCGTTAAAGAGGAGGCCCGCTTCCGCAGCTGTGTAATGTACGGAAGTTAATTTGACGAGTTCGCTCCCATACTAGTCATCAGAACAACATCATCTGCCTACTACAGGACATTAAGATATCTTGCCGGATATCTTGAACTGTGCCTTTCATTTAGAATAAGACCTTCGCATTTGACGGATCGGCAATGTTTCAGAAGGGAAAGCGGAGAACAATGCTGCATAGCAAAATCGAAAGCAAATTTTCCTGAAGAGCTTCACTATCAATAGCGAACCATGCAAGCAGTTTTCTTTCGACTTTAATAGCGAATATGGTTTAAGCGTACATCTCTACCAAAATAGGAATGATGTGATCAGATATCTAATAGTATTTTTAGACCTTCCACTTTCTCCATTGAGTGTTGAGTGATTTCCCGGAGGCCTTAAAATCACATGCCAAAAATGCAAAAATACCATAACTAACACATCAAATTATTTACTCAAAAACAGCAAGAGGCTGCAAAAATGAAAAGATAAAAATCAGGAAAACATGCAGGATGTCAGCCTCCTATATGTTTAAATTCTGAGGGTGATTTTGGACACCCACTGCCACGAACGTTATTGCACAACACTGATGTGCTTCGATGCCACCAACTAGAAATGGCCGTTTGTAAGGAGTACGATCTTCAGAAAGATAACTGCTGCAAAAATGAGTGTCCTGTCTCCCTTATATATTGTGATATTCGTATATTTAACACAGAAGAATGATAGAAGAGCATCCGGTCAGGATTCAAATCTACGATCCTTCGACTGGGAAATCGATGCCGCGCTCACAAAGTATACCGCAGAAGAGACAAAACTTTGACTGAACCTGTCGGCTACCGCATGCCAATATGACTTAATTGCGGCTGTCACAGCAGTACGTCAATAGGTAAGGAGTATGAAAAGTTTCAGCTAATAAAATGGTTCTTGCGTTTCCATCACCTACTTTAGTCGGCGGTCACAGGCAATCGATTTCGTTAATTAAGGGTCATTTAATTAAATAACTCGACAATTCCTAAATGATTTTAAACGTTCGAAACCGTCAAGGATGCATATCCAGATCTTGAACATTGTGAGGCTGAAGTTTCACTTCATGCTACCATCCACTGCATAAATCATCAGGGCTGTCAGCCCGACCGTTTCCTCAGCAGATCTTGCCTCGGCAAAATTAACGCCATCATTTGAGGGAATCGGGTGTTACTTTAAGCTTCCTTACAGCCTGCCGGCTAGTTAACTGTCATCTACTCACTTGTACATATTGCTTTACTCTCACTCGCACAGATTGAGGCTACGCAAGACCCTCACATGAAAAATTGCACCTCGAACCGCTCTTATGGTGAATAATGTTCTCTGGCTTCTCCGGTGGAATCTCGAGTTTGACATTTGTCAAAATGACTGAACATGCGGATATCTTAGAAATCTCAAGAATTCTGCTGAAGAAACAGCAAAGTCGCGACAGGAATATAAACCCAGAAATATACGAGGATTCAGCAGTCGCCATCTGCATTTTGTATATGCTGTGTTGTTCTAAACCTATAAGAAGGATCACAGACTCCGCGAATGTCAATGCTGAAGAAAGTTATCTGATTCTAACGAAAGTGAGCAATACTGCTCATAAAATCAAATGATCGAGTTGTATCTCATGGTATGTTAGTAAAACGTCACCTTCCCAGCATCAGAGGGTTTCGGAACACGAAAAAGCAAGAGAAGATCCAGACGACTTAACTGGAGCTAGAAATAATGTCAAAACCCACCAGTGATTCAGTAAACGCGAGCAAAAAAGAAACACTTTAAAGTAACATGAATACATTTTTCATCTTTGAACTACGATATCAACTCGGTTTCCATAATGCAGTTACCGCCAAGATTACACATTATCTGTGATTCGCGTTAAGATAGGTCACCTTAGGGTGGAACCATAGCCTTCTGGTGTCTACTGATATTCGCCTACTTTGACTATGATGCCGTGGTCGTGTACATTCGATACGATAACAATGACTCTAAATCTCAGTGTGAAACTGTCCTTTATGAGTGCTCAATTAGTTTACAGGTTGATGGATGACAATGATTCGCTGTCAGTTGAAATGACGGATGTCATACCGCAACTGCATTGTCAACACGTGAAAGACTACCTTCCACACGGTCATGCATGTTTCAAAAGTCACCATAAAGTCTCAGATATGCTCGATGATGAATTTGCCTTCGTGATAATCAAGCAGTGGTACCAAATGCAAATGTTGGAGGATACTCTCAACCAAGCCATGAAACGCCAAAGCAACGTATACATCTGGGACAAAGCTATGACCAGAAGTATTTTTCTGTAAATGCATGATTTCGGTTCGGTTCAATGAAACTTATGAATGTAATGGTGAGGATTTGATGATTACAGACACAACCAGGAAACGTCTTTGTTAAAATATGATACTAAAGTGTTTATGCTTTGGCCAACAGCATTAGCCATCCTAAAGGTCGTGAGGATTGCAACACGGTGTGGCTGAAACGCTGGCAGTAAAACAAAGACTTAAGAATAGATTTTCTGGTTGGAAAGTACTAAAGTAATCGAATCCATATCAATTATACTGAAAAAGAAGCATGGAATGTGAATGAACTTTGAAACTCATTGGAGATGTACATTTGTATCTGCGCAGTTTTATCGGGTGGCCTGAGGCGCGTACACACAGTGCGCACTGCGTAAGCAGAAGACGAATTACCTAACTCATTTGAAATCAGAAATCACGTGAGATAGGCAGCATCCTTTTTGCCAATGCTCTTCTGTTTCGTCATTGCATTGGTGATGAGACAAAACGTCGACAATCTCAAAGGAGAAGGAGTCACGTTAAGCCGAAGAGAGAGCTAAAAGCACTCTGCCATACACTTCACGATCTCGATTACGCAAACGGCATCATACCCGTCAGCGATTCCGGTGGTAGACTACGGTTACTAACAGCAGCGGTTCAAACCATCGCTGAAAGAACACGTCTTCCTGTTATTGGGAAGAAAACGAAAGTGATGAGGAATACACAAGAAAAAAAAGAGACCAAACTCTCTTAAAGTGGAGAAAGACAGAAAGAAGTTAACCATTATAAATGACTTGACTGTGTTGTTATGAAAGGGACGACTGCGATAATGAGGTTAAAAAAAGAATTGCCTTAACAGCGGCAGCATCTGGAAGTCTAGAGAAGACCTGGTGTTAGCAAAGCATCTAGTTGGCCACGAAAATACGAACCTTCATTATGCCTACCACCTCTATCTTATTGTACAGTTTGGAAACGGCGACCTTGCAGGAAATCTGTCTAAGCGCCTTCCAACAGAGTTGTCTACGTCACATTACAAACCTTGGATGGCTTCAGTGAATAACAAGCCAAGAGGCACTAATCCAAGGGGAACTGCGGGAATTATGTTCACCACTCCAGAAAATGTGAAACTCATAGCTTGATAATATCACACATAAGGAAAAAATATCAGTCGTTCAAAGAATAATACTACGGGATTCAAACCATGGACACGTCATTCCGGTCGTTAACACTGAATTTGGAAAGACTACTCAGGGCAGACCTGTAGTCGCTTTGAAGAAAGTATCTCGTGAATGCAGAAGGACACGTCTAAAATTATGAATCTGTCAGCTGCCCCAGCGGACATCATTAGATGAAGCATTACTGCGAAGCCGAGGATCTAAATTGACAATCACACACATACAAGTCGTAAAAATGACTTTCCTAAAGCAATACCTACTGCAACATCAGCAGACATTTTTGAACCATT